TGCACAGTGCATGCCATACAGCAGCTCTTTTCCATTAACCTAATTGCTTTCTAACATGTCCTCATGTGGGAAGTACACAAATAAGTTAATCCGGAAAAGCACTTCCTTTTCCTTTATCATCTTTCTCATTTCAAACACGCTGCATAGCCAATTTCCTTTATTCTAGGGTGTTGGTTACAGTATATATCTTAAATATGTGTGCTCATATATACATATATAAATATAGACTCATGTAAGTGTGCATGCACATAAATGTATACACGTTTACACATCTCCTTCATAGTTTCTAAATGATGATGGTAGTTCCTATCACTCCCTTCTGATTTGACAGATTCTCTATGAAAATGATGGATAGCCAGAATAGGATTTTGTCAGGCACTGGATCTTGTACCTCAATCCACCAGATATAAGAACTGCTCACCATCAGTACCAACTAATGATACCTTCTGGGCAAGTGATATTATTCTACATGTAAACAATTATAGTCAGGCTGTAAGGCTGTGAGCCACTCCTCACAAATGATATTGTGGTAAAAGAAAGGAGTTTGGGCCTAGAGAGAGAAACACAGAGAAGATAAGAAGAGACATGAAGAAAAGACAATCATATGCAATGCCAAGTAGAGATAGAGTAAATCCTTTCCTAATGGCTCTCAGAAGGATCCAGCCTTGACACTTTCTTGCCCGTAGGCTTGTAGCACGAGAATTTGGACATAGCAGATGCCATAAGCCAGTTGACTGAAGGACCATCCATTGCGGGTAGTTTTTCACATGCTGCATGTACCTTATATGCAAATATCTATCACAGGCATGAATTATACTAAGATTAGCTAGCTTAACTTCTTACAATCTTGAAATAATATAAAGAAGATTATTTTGAACATTTCTTTAAAAAAAAATAGCTGTACATTACTAGTACCCAAACAGAGAGTGTCTTACAGCTAAAAACTGTCTTCATCTTCATTTTTTTTTCCCCTCTGGTAAAATAATGTGGCCCAGAATAGCTCTCATCTAATTGGCAACATATTCTTTTACCAAAGCCAGTATTCATTCTGTGGGGGACTTGAATCTAGAAAGAAAATGGAATAGTTCAATCTTGATGCCCTTCTCTTGAATTCTGCCATTCATAGTATTACTGCCCTGGCTACATTTGGGACTTTTTTGTTTTTTTTTTTCTAAAGTGCTCCACTATCTTTTCCTTCATGTAGTTATGATATAAAACAGCCAGATAGAAGTGCTCTATGCTTTCCTTTCCCTAGGAATTTAAAAGGTAACATCGACTCTCCTTGAGGAATTTCATTTATTTTAGTGAAGAAAATGTAACAGCATGAAATCCCTTGTCTGTTTCTCTTTGTCAGCCTTCATAAAAATTGTATGACGTGTGACCATTAGAATTGATCGGGTACAGTTTGATCTTTTACGTGACATTACCTTAGGAGCCCATAAAGCTTGTATTTACATTCAAAGGCAGTTATTCCTAGTTGCCTGTGGCTGTTAGGGGCAAGAGGCAGAGAGGGAGAACACCTTAGGATTGGATTTTTGGACTTACTAGTTCAATTCACCAGTGTTATATATATCCTTTATTTTAAGTTGTAAAGTTAAAATGGGCATTGCAACCAGGATAGCATATCAAAAAAATATTCCTGTCACAAAAAGTCAAGATCAGCATCAATCTAAATGTTACATCGAATGCATTTAATCAAGCAAGAGGCAACCTTCTGTTTTTCATCAGGTTCTTTTAGATTGTTATGAATATCCACAAAAAGATATATCCTTTTGTGGATCAGAAATCATTGAAGAAAATGCTTCACAATTCCTTTATGGTTAGGAAAAGCCAGAATCTGTTTCTTTTAAGTTTTTGTTGTTGGCAGGAGCTTAGAAAAAGCACATCCCAGCATCCTTTAACACCTATTTTATTCAGATGCAAAAAGATCAAGTGGCTTTTGTCTGTTGTTTGAGCATGAAGCATGGACTAACCTGTCACATGTAATTATTAATTTCTAAAGATTTGGAAGCTTCCACATGGCCAGGGATAGCCTTGAATGCCTTCAGGATTCTTAAATTTCAGACATGATGGTTATCTTCTCAAAGGTTTTAATTCCAGTGTTACCACAAAGTACCAAAGTTGGAAAAGCAGGCTAAGGGATAATTTTTGCCTGACTATATTTTGGAGAGAGTAGTTTCTTGGAATTAGACACAAAGCAAAATCATGAAGATTGTTATATGATAGCAAGTCTCTCACCAAGTCTTGGTGTTGCCTAACAGGAGTTACTTAGACTTTTTGTGTCTCATTGGTTTGGAGGCCAAATCATGTCCGATGCTGGAAGATAAGACTGAGACTTAAGATCTTAATTTAACATCCATCCATTTTTAAAATGGGATTTTTCCCAATACAGATTGATTGTGAGACATATTTAATTCACCTCAGCTGTTTATACAGGATAGACCAATTTTGAAGGTGTAACATGTTCTAGGAGCTATTGTATAACAGCAACTTAGATGCAGATTATTAGGGATCAAATACGTATTCATTGACCCGTGAGTGGATATCACACCTTGGTAAACCCATCAATACACCATTTCACTGAACATCCTGGCATAGGAATGAGATATAGAGTAGAAGTTGTTTAATCCTCGGATCATACTTCTTCCTCAAAGTGGAGGCTTGATGCTGAAGCTTAGGTTGATAAAAGATCAGATCTAGAATTCCAATTGTGATTTCAATGGAATACATGCTGCCTATGCATTACAGGAAACTTGAAAACATGGACAGAACCAGGTAGTATCTCCATGTCTTATGGGAAGAAAGTTTTCCTGGTTAATAGCATGCCTGAGTACTCTACTGTGTGTTTACCAGCAGTGTAACACGTCTTTAGCATAATTAATATTTAGCATTAGAACCTTCCAGAAACTGTTTTGTATCTCTCCTTTGGTGGTCTTTAGTATCTATCATTTCCTTGAGCTAAATCTTAATTGTAAGTATAACATCCTTAATGACTATAGTTTTGCTGACTAGAAAAATTTAGAGGCCCTGTTAGGCTAGTCTGAGTAATGATTACATAAGTGACAGAATTCAGTTTCCAGATCAGTTTGTTGCTGTGAGATTCACCCATAATCACATGGTTAGTCATTCTTGTGTGGCCAATCTCCAGCAAGGATATTGGCTAGCCTGACTCAGACATCTAGGATAGCCATCCTCTCCTGTAGTTGTTTGGCCTAGGTATGTGAACACTTGGTCCCCATTGGCAAGGTTTAGCTGTGCCATTGTTACAAGAAGTACATCATTGGAGGGGGGTTTGCTCTAACCAGTCCACTTTCTCTGATCCCACTCATGTCCTGCCTCAGCCATTCAGACTGATGAGTACTGCCATGCTTCTCCACTATGATGGACTCTTGTCTCTCAAGAACCATGAACCTAAGTAAACAATTTCTTCCTTCAGTTGCCCTTGTCTCAGTATCTTATCACAAAAACAGAAAAGTGACTAATGCCCCACTTCAAACAAAAACACACTGATTAGCATTCTCACACAGAAGTCTAGGCAGTTCCTCAAATTAAGATGCCAAATGCTTTAGAGAAAAATATGTCTTTACATGATCCCAGCAGTAACTTCTAGACTATACATTGACATTCTGAAATGTTGGGTGAATGGGGTTATGTCACTTAACTGTTCTTAGCTTAACTTTCTTCTTGTGTATACTGGGCAGAACGGTGGTACAAGAGCAGCCCTGTGATTAAATATTATATCTGAGCATTGAGGACTTACCCCAAGGTCAATTACTAATATGTCCTTCATCTTGATGATTATTGTGGTTTTTGTGTTTTAACTTTATGATTTACATTGTGGCAAATATTTTTATTTGTGTATTTCTGTTTGAGGTATATAAAATGGAATTTCTTTCTTTCATAGGCTTTTCAAACTATTCAATCTCTTTTTATTTTTTATATTAATTACAGTTTATTTACTTTGTATTTCAGCTGTAGACCCCTCCCACATTCCTTCCTAATCCCACCCTACTTCCCCCATCTCTTCCCATGCCCCTCTCCAAGTCTACTGATAGAGGAAATCCTCCTCCCCTTCCATCTGACCCTAGACTATCAGGTCTCATGAGGACAAAATCTCATTTTTTTTTCTTTCTCACATTTCATGGACTCTCTTATACTTTTTCTTCTTTTACCTTCTCTACTTTAGTAGAAACACCTATTCAGTTCAGCAGAACACTCCAAGAGAGGAGATTAAAGAGTTCTTTTTAAAAAAAATATTTCTGTGAATTTGTTTTTAAAAATGTTCTAGCAATGGTTACACAATTTCAGTTGCATAACCATTTGGTGATAGCATTCTCTCATTTCTTTCTCAACACCTAGTACAATTAGAGAATTTGTTTGCATAGGTGTGAATGTGACAGTTACCTTCAGGAAACATTTCAGTTCTTCTAAAGTGGGAGCACTTTTTGAAAGGTACTTGATCATTTCTGTGTCTCTCTATGTCATTTTCTATGAAGAATATGAAAATCCTGGTGAACCCTGGGCATTTTTGCATTCAAAGTGGCAAAATTAACGTGGCACAGCCCCGTGCTGTGCCTATACCTGAAATGTTATGAGAAAAGTGATTGATGTTCATTTCAGTTTTAGTTTTTCAAAGGGATTTATATAACAGAAAAGATTTCCAGTGATTAAGGTAGTCTCCAAAGGACATATATCTATAGTGTATGGACGTTACTGTGGAAAGTAAACGCTGCATACAGCTTTATTTGCAGTCTGAAGAGATTTGGTTACTATGGTGGTACTTCCTGGGGTCTCCTGATTCTTGGGGCATTCACTCACTTTTAGGATGGGTTGACAGATGTTCTTTAACCATGGGATGTCCAAAGTGTGCTACTTGCTGGGCAGTAGGAGCAGTTAAGAGCAAACGATAGTTGCTGTTTGTCCTCTTCCATGAAAGGCTGCACCTTTTATAAGACCTTTCATTCATTATTGTTATTTTTTTCCTTCCTCTACCCACACAGGTGAGCTTCTTTTGCAAGGCCCCGTGTTTATCAAAGAGCCCAGCAACAGCGTTTTCCCAGTTGGTTCAGAAGATAAAAAAATAACTTTAAATTGTGAAGCAAGAGGCAACCCTTCACCTCATTACAGGTACTGTGGGAAGTTTGAACATGAAAATAAAAAATGTAGCAACTGCAATTAGTTTTGCTTCAATATGTTGTGCCATGTAAGGAGGGTTAGATACATGGTGTGAGAGTGGTGTGGTCAATAGAACCAATTCCATAACTATTAGGCAACAGCAGTATGAATTAAAAAGGTAAAGCATAGGAGGATTTCTTAAGTATGCTTCATTTTTTTTTACTGATTTATAGTGTAATTTATAAAGTATATAGATTAGATGGTAAGTTATAGATTTATCAAGTACACATTTATTATTGGGGTAAAATTAAGTGGTATTTGATGCATGTTTTTTAAATATATTATTGTCCCTTCTTTCTTTGCTTATAGTGGATGTGTTCAGAGGAGGCTCACTAAATGTGGAAGAATAAAATACATTTTTAAAAATAATTGAAACTATTTTGAAGATAAAATATATTCCTTTTATCAACTTTTTAAAAATCATCTTAAAATCTTCACATTTAAGATTATGGAAAAACCTGTTCAATGAAACCTTCAGCTGTCACAAAAAAAAAGTATATAAGTGAAGAAGAAAATGTTCAATCTTCTTAAGATTAAAATGTCAACATTTGAAAAGTGATCAGGATTATGTGATAGGATCAGTATTTACTTGATTAAATATCAAAAGATTAACAATTTTTATTCATGGATACTTAAGGCACTCAGTTTAATGAAGAGATGGATTATTAATAATTAGCATACACTGTTTCCATAGAAGTGGTTTGGGGCCAAGTCCTCCAGGCACCTTCACAACAGCACACACCTCCAAGCACTTGCTACAATCTGCCTCAAAACTATTTACGCAGTCCCATATTTTGCAGAAGAAGCACCCTTCCTCCTACATTAATAAAAGCCGACAGATTTAGAGGCATCATTTAGATCTTATTGAACCTCTATTGTTCTCTGAAGCCATAGAAATAATGGATGCCAATAGTGCTTGTTAAAGTGGGTCAGGCTTACCTTAGAAAAAGACTTTCAGATTTATGCACCAGGAAGTAATCAAGGTCAGTCTTTTCAATTTGTTAACAGTATACTTAAGGAGCACCTACTGTGTGCTTTCAGCAAACTATGCATTAAACTCCTATGTTATGTCTGTTTCTACTTCTTACTATAGAAGTAGGAAAGGCATGAAGAAAACAAGAAATGCTTTCATGAGCTAGATGAGCTAGATGGTTGTTAGTGAATGCAACATCTGGAAATATTACTTTTTTGGAGGGAAAAATGAACAAATCATTTGATGAAGATTCTATCTTGGAAGTACTGTTTCTCACACTTTTCTAAGAATGTCTGCTGCCTTATAAAGAATAATTCTGTTCATAATAGAAGAACACTTTTATATACAGAGCTCTAAACATGAGAAAGCCATTTGAGTGATAAGTATATAGGTTATTTTTCTATTGTTGATAGAGTTGTATCCTCATATTTATCTTATGTTATTGGGTGATAAATGTATTTATTGAAGAAATCGTCAAGACACAAGATGCTACGGAGGAACATATTTCTAAATGAGAAGATTAATTATGTTTGTAGAATGTTATCAAGTAGCCAGATGTCTTGAGCTTAGAAACCTATAAATCTTTTGTAGTAATTGTATGTTGTATACTAGGAATTCAGTGCAATGCTGTGGACTCTGAGTATAAAATTATTAATTGTATGTACAAAATTTTGTAGAAGAACTCTTGTCAATTGGTAGTGACCCTTCTGTTTTACTGTATTCTCTGGAATACCAAGACGGCACTTGTTACATTTCAGTTCAAGCAAAATCTATACCTGAGGAAAGGAAATACATGGCTTTCATTGATTTGTTGATATAGTATTTGATAAATGAAGTTTTGCCTGCTATATAATGTGTCAAAATCCTTGGTTGCTAGCCAAATGGAACAGACACTTTTATCACAGGTTTAAAGATTTTCTGAACTCAGGATTTCTAAATAATATGAAATTTTGCTTTTGCTAACAACAGCTTATAATTACTGCGAACTGAAGCTAGACACACAATGAAGCCTTTTTATTCTGGGAGGCATTAGACTTCCTTATAACAACAGCAACTCCAAAAAAAAAAAGTTTCTGTTTTTGTGTGTTGTCTATAGAAGAAATAGGTTGCACTTGATTAAAAAGAATGTAGAATAATGCAAGGCATATTCTGTTCCCCCCCCAAATTTTACCTTTAATAGTCCTGTAACATGCCTTTTATCATAGAATGATTCAGAAGAACACACATCCTTGTTCATCCTTATTAATATGCTTTAGAAATTACAGAGCTTAGATACAGTACAATAAAATTAGTATATTAATGAAGCAATAAAATATTATATGTCATATAATTATAAACAGGTAAGTGAAGAAATAGGAAGCTGGAAACTGAACCAAGGAGGAAGGTGAGGGGCTCCTATGAAATCACTCATGTGACGTGACCTATTCATGTTTCTGAAGATTCAGAACAAAGCTTAAGAGTTTTATGAGAGCTTGTCCTTTAAAAGCACAAAGACTCCTGGAGACTGGAGCAACTTCGCCCATGAGAGATCTTGTCCCTGTTATATCCCCTTTGGGTAAAGATAACTCTTAATTGGTCATATTAGAAATCCAAAAGTTCAGAAAATCTCATGAGAAATTACTCCTATAAAGGTCTAATTGAGAATTTTATTCTTTCTTTTACATTTCCCTGCCTGCACCCTAAAGCCCATATTTAAAGGTTAATTAGGATTCAGTCTGACTGTAATTGTTAATGGCGCTGAAAGAGGTTACCTTAAAGATGTATTAATACTTGCTGGGTTTTTTTTTTGTTTGTTTGTTTGTTTGTTTGTTTGTTTTTTAATGTAAAGAATTTTTCTCGTATTTGTTGTTTGGGCTCCAAATGCCTAACATTGAATGAGGTATCCACATGGAGGAAGGGTACCTGCCATAGCTGTTGATACCATCCTGTGCTTAAAGTATCGTAGGTTCAGGCTAAACTGGACTACAATTCACACACACACACACACACACACACACACACACACTTACACACATATAGATCAGGCAAGTAACAAAGTCAAATGAAGTGGAGCCGCCCAAATGATTTGTGAATCCATTGCCTAGTTACTGGCAATTCATAATTCAGCTGTAAGCCTACCAGGTGGATTGGGCCATCATGATTGTCCACAATCTGTCCAGTTTGAACATCTACTCTCCTTTGCTTTTTATACATTCAATAGGCTAAAAATGTCCTAAGGCTGAATGTGGTCCTAGGGGTTCTATGTGTTTTTATCTTTTATATCCATGGAAGCATTCAATTTTAAATTAAAAACAAAAAAGTAAAAATTCACTTTTTTCACATAAACTCCATTTCTAGTGTTTTGTGGGCATACATGGCTAGTTGTTACATCCATGGAGAGCATGTATCTCATATCTTTATTTCTAAAATATCCTATTTTACACTACTGTTTTATACCTACCCTGAGTTTTGCAGCATGTTCTCACAGATGTCTTCCATTTTGGTCCCAAGAGAACACACGAAACATCCTTCTTAGTGAGTTCTTTCAAATGGGTAAGATGTTTTAATGCAGGACAGTGGGTGGAATCTGGAAAGTATACGTGCTAAGATAAATTTTCCCTCCAAGTAGAGGCTTTTCCGGTTTCCTTAAACAGGATTTCTTGGGATGAATCTGTGTTCTGCATGTGTTTAAATTACTGAAAGTTAACCTAATTGTGCTTAGTATAAAAGAAATGGAAAATGAAGTAATACACTAAATTTGTTCAACATGTATTCAAAGAATGATGTAAAGAAAGGAAGTTTAAGTTTATTTCTTCTCTGTGCATGCATACACACATACACACATTCACAGATCCTATTACCATGTAAGATCTGGTGTCACTATTACCTATTTTTATACTCAAGTCAAATAAAAGCTATTGTTCGTTGAAATTCTCATGACCCTTATCATTTGTGACAGTTTTCTAACTCTCGATTTTTAGGCCCAGCTTTCTTTGATATCCTAAGTTCTCCAGCTATCCTTATAATTAGTCACTAAGAGCAGTGAAAAATTCACTGAAGTGGTTGCAAAATATCAAGAACACAATTATTTCTATACTTTCTGAGGCTAATAGTAGCTGACTCATGCAGTTTCAGACAAGGCTATACCACCATCATGCCCGCAAAGGCTTCCTTGTTAACCTCATCACTAGACTTCTCCCTATAGTACCATGTCTGACTATGGCACCTTGACATTCCTGTATCACACAGGGAACTGTGACTGTGCCTGGTTATGGCACCTTGACATTCCAATTTTGCACAGAGAATTGTAATTGTGCCTGCCTATGGCACCTTGGCATTCTTGTGTTAATCAGGAATTGTGATTGTACCTGCCTATGGCACCTTGGCATTCTTGATCTTTACTGTAGCTGTCTAGCCAGCAGTAAGGGCTTACTTAATGGCTGGAAAAGATCCATCATGAAACTGTCAAAAAGAAAAAAGAAATTTATAAAGAGATCGTATTTCAGAACTCAAGAATGCCATAGCAAAACTGCAACTTCAATGTGCTAGATAGCTTATTTTTTCCTAGACGTTATGGTTTGGATTCAGTCTTATTTTTGGCTCCATTTTATCATAGTTTGACTTTAGGTATACAAGGTCTTTTCTAGGAACCCAAACCTCTTGACAGCCTCCTCACAATATAACCTGTCAAAAAAGACTTTATCGGGAGGAGAGAGAGCTCAGTGCTTAAGATCACTGACTGCTCTTCCAGAGGATCCAGATTCAATTCCCAGCACCCAAATGGCCTCTCACAACTGTCTATAACTCCCATTCCAAGAGAATCTGCCCCCTTCATACAGATAAATGTGCAGGCAACATACCAATGCACATAAAAATAAATATTTTTTTAAAAAGATCTCATCTCTCTCATGCTGTCATCTATTGCCTCTAGTCATATCAGAAAATGTGAAATAAAAGCGCAGACAATATTGTAAATAATAAATTTTCATGAGAAAAATAA